AATACTTGTTTATTTGCTTTTATAGTTATATATATTGTCGTGTCTTCACATTTTTAAGGAGAAAATAATTTAAATACCTTAACTTTAGGTAGGTGTGATATCCCCATCATAAACTTGTCTATGTTATTTAAATATCCCCTTCTTTAGCTAACATGTGAAATAGGTACCCTAGCCTTTGATAAGTTGATGCAACTAGCCCCTCCTTTTATTCATCCACTCCATCTCTGTTCCCACCTCCAGGCCTCCAGGGAAGATGTCCCTCAATCTCAAATTGGATACTATCTCCGTAGGGACTCTCCAGCGGTCCTGTTTCACGTTGAATAAAAATGCGGCTGTAGATGAAGACCTAGTGATAGTGGTGGACTCGGGTCGGGCCACCCGGCCCGCTACTGTGCGGGACCGGGACCGGCCCGGTTCTCGGGTCCGGGTCGGGCCTAGACCCGGGGGTGGGGTGGGTCCGGGCTCAGGGTCTTACAATTGGTGAACCGGCCCGGCCGGGTCGGGCCTGGGTCCGGGCCAAATTGATTTTTTTTTTCATTTTTTGGGGTTCCACCTGGGTTGGGCTTGGTGGTTAGGAGGGGTTTTGGGGGTGGGGGTTAGGAAAGCAAAAAAAAAATTAACCAAACCGGCGGCCCGGACCAGGACTGGACCCGATGGTTACCCGGGCCGGTCCCGGGTCCACCAATTTTGAACCGACATAAAACCAAGAAAAACTAAAAGGCAGAAATTGATCTGTGATGCCAAAGATGTTCATCCTTCTGAACAAGGAAATGAAGAATTTGAAAATACTGGCATAGAAAATGATATTGACAAAACAAATATCTCAAATGATGATCCAACTTCCTTAAACGAAGAAGATATTCCAGAATATGATAGAAACGTTGATAATTATGAAATTTCAATAAACTACGTTTCTACTAGAATGCAATGGAATCGAAAAGATATTGATATTAATGAGATATTTGTCTATGTCGTTGCCACGAATGTTGTGAATGAAAACAATGACAATGAGCCAACATCAATTGAAGAATGTCGGAAACGACATGATTGACCAAAATGGAATGAAGTTATTCAGGTTGAATTAAAATCACTTGAAAATGTGATGTTTTTGGATCGATAGTCCCTACGCCAAAAGGCGTAAAACCTGTGGGGTTTATATGGGTATTTGTTCGTAAACGCAATGAGAAAAATGAAATCGTAAGATATAAAGTCCGACTTGTTGCCCAAGGTTTTTCCCAAATGCCGGGAATCGATTATGAAGAAACCTATTCTCCAGTAGTTGATGCAACTACATTAAGGTTTCTCATTGGCATGCCTGTTTTTGAAAGGCTGCAAATGCGCCTAATGGATGTAGTGACTGCATATTTATACGGTTCACTCGATACAGACATTTATATGAAAGTTCCCGGTGGATTCAAAATGCCTGAAGCTTATAGCTCAAAACCTCGAGACATGTTTTCCCTTAAATTACAAAAGTCGTTGTATGGACTAAAACAATCTAGATGAATGTGGTATAATCGTCTCAGTGTATACCTTCTCAAAGAAGGATATAAGAATGATCCAACTAGTTCATGTGTTTTCATTCGGCGATCAAATTCGGGATTCGCCATAATTGTAGTATACTTCCTCCGTTCTTTTTTAGTTGCAACAGTCAACCTTTGCACATTTGCCAACACACACATTTGACCGTAATTATATCTTAATCTCTATTAATAAAAAAATATTAAAAATCAGATTTTGAAAATTTGTAATGAAATGAATTGAAAAATAAATTTTTTTAAAAAATAATTTCCATAAAATAATAGTGTAAAATGTAGTCAAAGTAGATCATTTGAACAGTGCAAAAAGTCAACACGTTGCGATTAAAAAGAGACGGAGGATAGTATGTTGATGACCTGAACATTATTGGAACTCCCGATGAAATTGAAAATACTGCAAATTATTTTATGAAAGAATTTGAAATGAAAGATCTCGGGAAAACCAAATTTTGTCTCGGACTTCAAATTGAGCATTTGAAGAATGAAATTTTTATTCATCAATCCAATTACACCGAGAAAGTTTTGAAGCGGTTCTACATGGACAAAGCTCATCCTCTAACTTCACCGATGGTGGTTCGTTCTCTCAACATACACGATGATCCATTCCGTCCCCGAGAAGACAACGAAGAAATACTCGGTCTCGAAGTACCATATCTGAGTGCTATTGGAGCTTTAATGTATTTAGCAAATAATACTAGACCAGATATTGCACTTTCGGTGAATTTATTAGCTAGGTACAACTCATGTCCAACAAGGCGTCATTGGAACGGAATCAAACACATATTCCGTTATCTCCGTGGTACAGTTGATCTCGGCCTATTCTACCAAAAAGATGCAAAAGCCACTTTAATCGGATATGCAGACGTTGGATACTTATCAGATCCTCAAAAGGCGAAATCACAAACCGGGTACGTATTTACTTATGATAACACCGCAATCTCGTGGAGATCTATGAAACAGACTTTGACAGCTACATCATCAAATCATTCGGAGTTCATTGCACTTTATGAAACCGGGAGAGAATGCGTGTGGCTGCGATCTATGATTCAACACATCCAAAATGAATGCGGTATGAAACCTCTTACTTGTCAGCCTACTGTGATCGATGAAGACAACACTGCGTGCATAGCTCAGATTAAAGAAGGCTACATCAAAGGAGACAGAATGAAACACATATCACCAAAAATTCTTCTCTACTCATGACCTGGAGAAAGAAGGGACGATCAACATTCAACAAATCAGATCTAGTGAAAATCCGGCTGATCTCTTCACCAATTCATTGCCCCCGAAGAAATTCATAGAACTTGTACAGAAAACCGGCATGCGCCGCCTTCATAATTTATGCTAAATTTAGGGGGAGTATTTGAATGCACTGCACTCTTTTTCCCTTCATCAGGTTTTTATCCCACTGGGTTTTTCCTGATAAGGTTTTTAACGAGACAGTATATCCAAATACAACGACATTATACGTCGTAATCTTTACCCCTTTAATTTCACACTAATTTTCACAATACATTTTCAACATAACAAACACCTATTCAAGGATGAACATTCAAGGGGGAGTGCTTTAAATTCCCGAGAAGATCAGACATGTGTGAATTGTTTATCCTTGTCATTAGGACACCAAGCTACTCCTGATCCTTGTAATGAGCTTACTCATCTAATTCATATCCTTGTAATTATAGTTAGACAAGTGGATAAATATAATATTACCAGCAAATTGTGTAGAATCATTCCTAGATGATTCATCCTCTTGCTTGACTAGTATAAATAGGGCTTATTCAATCCTTTGTAAGGAAACTCAGAGATTCAAAAAATCTTGATAAGAAGAAGTAATTTAAAGCTTATTATTTATATATCTATCTCTTAAACTTGTTCTACATCTTCTTGATTTCACAATACAAACAAATTTAAAATTGGATGCAATAGTGAATAGTGGTCCATATCAAAGAGCTACATGAAGTAAATTTTTATCGATACGAGATCTTACTCAATCCATTCATGCATGATTCACCAACTTATACTGCACACGCAAGATGTTTAATACTCTTTGCGTATTGAAATGTTTACTACAAAGGGGTTGACACAATATTTAAGGAAAAATGGTAGGGTAATGAACGCGGTAGAAAAAGTAGGAGTGATGACAAAAAAGTATGAAAGAAAATATAAAGTAGACAATGGTAATTGAGTTTTTATAAATAGAAAATTTAGCAAAAGGCAAAGTGTAGCAAACATTACAATGCATCTCAAAAATTGACTGTCTTCCCGGTTGAATTTTTATCTGAAATTTGGTATGAGTAAACTAGACTTAATGAAAAGGATGCTAAAAAAAAAATCATCAAATATTTCCACCAGAAACCTCCCCAATTGGCGATGGACGGACAGAACCTCATATATAAGAGGTGAATTGCACTTTTTAAGTTAGTTCGAGCGTCTATTTGACCCTTTAGCCATTTATCTTCTACTTAGTATAGGTATAAATAAGGATGTTTTTACTTGGACTATAATTTGTCCCAGATCAGACCAGACTAGTTCAGACCAGACCAGACGTCGATAGTTATAAAAATACAAAGAAACCAGACCTTACCAAACCAGACCAGACCAGACCAGTGCAGATCAGACCAGATCAGACCAGGCCAGTAAATTACAGTCCAAGTAAAAACATCCTAACACATCATATATGTGAAATTTTAAGGGAAAGTTCCCGAAATAGATCCATAACAGTTTGATAATTCCAAAATAGAACTGTCATGTTTTTTATTCCCAAAATAGGAGTAATTACTGTCAAGTTTGGAATATACTGACATGTTTGAAGTATGATACTGCCAAAACATGACAGTAATTAGTCTTATTTTGAGAATAAAAACATGAAAGTTCTATTTTGGAATTTTCAAACCTTTTAGTCATATTTCCGGTAATATCTCACATTTTTTTAATTGTTACTCTACTGTTTTCAGTACCTGTTTCTCGATCTCTCTAAGGGAGTGTTTGCGATTGCTTGTGCTTTTTAAAAGTGATTTTTTTAAGAGATTATTGGAAAAGTGATTTGTAGTAAAAGTTGGTGATGTTTGGGAATAGAAGTGATTCTAATTAAAATGTAAAAGTTGGAGTGTTTGATAAAAAAGTGATTGTGATGGTATATTTTAATGAAAAGTACAAAAATAACCTTTTTTAACATTTCCCACGTAGGGTTGGGGGTTATTTGAGGGTTATTTTGGGGGTTAGGGGATTTATTTGCCATTATCATTAGTCATAAAGTTGAGGGTATTTACAACTTTACCTAGAAGCTATTAAAAGCTGGGCTGGGGTAGCTTTTAGATTTTGGCTTTAAAACACTTTTTTTAAGTCAAAGTTGGGGTTACCAAACACTTAAGATTGCTTTTTTTAATCTAAAAGCTCCAGAGCACTTTTTTTAAGCAAACAAAAACACTTAAAGCTTACCCCTCACACTTTAGCTCTTTAGACTTTAGTGCTCCCTATTTCAATATCCATCAGTTTGATTCATATTTTTCTAACCTTTGTTTCATTCAATCATATCGATATAACTAAATTTATACGGAGGAATTTTTATTCAAATACGGAGTATATATTACTATGTTAGGCGCAAATTTCGCATGCAATTCCAATCCGCATATCTAAACGTTGCTGCAATTGGGTTCTGTTTCTACCAGTAGGTATGGAAATCGACTCCGTGGAAATGCTCTGTAAACATGTGAGTTCGTTCGTTCGTTCATCTATAAAACATCCCAGTCCACTTCTTAAGTTCTTATCCAGCCATTTTGTCGAACTAGTAACGGTTTATTTCTGAGTTAATGCAGTTAATTTTCTGCGCCGTTCAGAGGTGCCGTCTGAAAAATGATATGTGCAGATTATCAGTGAAACTGGCCCCTTCTCCATGGTGCAATCCGCCTCTCGTTCGAATCTCAGGTCATCTCTCTTCCTCTCTGAGGGGAAATGGGTGCTTGTACTGATTATACGAGAATCTCTATAACAAAAATACTTTAACGAGGGACTAAAACTGCATTTGGAAGGGGGCATGCAATGATTATAACCAATAATGCAGGAAGCTGTAAAATGAAAGTGGGTGGTGTTCCATTGCAGTTCAGATTATGGCACCCCCCAATATACAATTTCCAAGCCACTGACGGCTCGGCCGCTTACCTATTACCATGTCTAGTCATCTATCGGATAAGCTTTACAGGGCTGGACAAATTTGCACAACAGAATGCCAGCACACAGACACACACCTATACTACATACATATACGCTTGGGTGCGTGTATGGATGCATATATTATGCTCAGATGGAATTTTATGCATTTATAGATCCCGTTACTTCAGGTCGTTCTGTTTGAATTAGTTGCGATTCAAGTTCCCACGTCCAGAAGCCTTTATAAATTGAACCTAACATTAGACAGATGTTACATTCTGGTTTTATTTTGGTGAAACAGTGTCAGATACAGGAGTTGGAAGTACACTGGAGGAATACCAACATTTGAAGTACCAAAGTGGCCTCGTTCAGGCTGGTAAATGGGGTTAGTAAAGCCATTTCATGGCATTCATTTTACTTCTTTTTTTTTTTAAATACAACAATATCATTCTCAGACTGTCCATAATGAATTCCACTTCTCTCTCCCTCTGTCAGATGGGTTGATGTCTATTTCTACTACAAGTAAGTTTTATCACCACATGTTTTGACAATGTTGTGAGTATTGCATGAGTTCACATAACCTTTCCTTGAATTATAAGCAATCAGTTATCAGTGAGACTGATAGAGTGGGCATGGAACTGTCAAAAGTCATTTTGGGATTAGAGTTAAATTGAATATGAACTTGTGAATTATGACCTGGGGCTCAACACGTTTCAATTACTCTTTGTTATCTTCCATGCTGAAAGATCTTTTCTTAATAGATGTTATGTAACTTACACTAGTATACAATGTTCAGACAATCTGTATATACTTTGCCCGTAATGCGAGTACTCTTAATCTTGTTTATGTTGTTATAGTTATACACTATAACTTGTGATGTGATGACATGGTGAAGTGGACATTTAAATCAGGTGCTTTGATTTATAGAAGCGATTCTTTACCTGCATCCTTTGATACATATCAGAAAACGAACCACTGCAGGTATTTCTGACAAAGATATGCATAACTTAAATCTCAACATGAAAAACACCGCTTCTTCTAAGAGACTGACTAGACTGCCTTCAACCTCAAAGAATGGCGCACATTTCAGGCATATCCGCTTTTACACCTCATTACCACTTTACAGCTCAATTTTAGTTATAAATTTTGTTTTCATCTCACAGTGGCACTGAAGTATCAATGTCTACATTTGAAAGTTTTGATCACTTATTGGAAGATTTAACCTTATTTTTTAAGAAGGTGAGCAACATGTCCTACCACTTATCAAATCTTTGTTCATCTGTAGTTATATCATGCTAGTCTAGTTTCTCGTTTCTAACTTCTCACTTCATTACTTACTATTAACATTCAGTTTCTTTTGACAATTTTACAGATGCTCGTTTTAAAAATCCCGGTAAGTTCTTGCGTTTTTGTGAAATATTTTATGCCTTATGTTTAGAAATATAGGAAATTCAATCTTTCTGATATTACAAGTTTATATTTGGAGTATGGGTAACAGTGTAACACATTCCATTCGGAAGGTCTTTTATTTAAACTATATGGGATGCAATGATGCATAGCAACAAATCTTACACGGGCTCTTTAAAACTCTCACAATCACCATAGTGCAATTTTCTGGTACAGAACATGAAAAATATTCATTGTTTTAATCAGCTTCTCTTTTAAAGAATTTTAACAGATTTTTTAAGATACAAGAAAATGGTCTTCATTCTTTTCATTTGCTTGTCCAAATATTTAATATCATACTTCTTAAATTGCTATAATCCTTGTATGGTTGAGCACATATGATTTTTCCTTTCACCATCATACCATGTAGTTGAAAGTCGCTTAGATTCTTTTGCAGTTGTTGATTTTTCATGCTCCTTTACAGTTAGTTGCAGTTGAACTGTTGGTTGATTATTATAACATGCCTGGATCTTGCACGGAAAATTGTATTATGGCCATTGAGTGTGGTTCTTTACCTTTCCCGGTAGAAAGCGTCACCAGCCTAAGAACATGTTTTGAGGATTATGTCCTTAAGCACAGGAATAAACTGGATAGTGTTTGTCCTTATTGCTTTTTAACTGGGTAAGTTGTGAATAAGCCAGGGCTATTTCCTGTTTATTATTGATGTCTGCACATGTTATTTATTTGATCTTTTTTTTGCAAATGTGGGGATTCTTTAACGAAATGTATGGTTGTGAATGGTTCGGGTCCTTCTTCTATTGACTTAGAATACTTAAGTGGTAAAGATTATACGCTTGTTGAAAACTTGCAGTAAATTAAATATACTCCCTCCATCCCTAATTGGTTGTCCGAATTCCGAAATACTTTGGCACTTTACCTTTAAGAAAAAAGTTTGTTGTTTATGTTCGCTCTCTCTGTCTCTCTTCTACATAAATCTCAACCATGCACCTTTCACATCATTAACATTTGTGCCCGACAAAGTTGAAAAAACAATTTTGGACCATGGATATTTCAATGGGTTTGAAACCATTTTCGTAAACCTATTCGTAGGGAAAATTTGATGGTTGGCACTGGAGTTGCTAGCTGCTCAGGAAACATGCAAGGCAATGCACTGGTGATGGAAGCTGTGGTTGTTATTAGTGAATTACCTATGGTAGCTACTCCATCCTGCTTCAGGGAACATGAAAGAGAGACACAGGTTTAATTCATAAAACTCAATTTTACCAATATGTGTTAAAAGGTTTAATAACTTTGTTTGGATCTCCTGAATTAAACATATGGAATTATGGACATATGGTGATTAAAATATGTATTTTTTAAGGTTTTGTTCTATAGAGACTTTGTACCCTCTACTATCCCGAAATCATTATTGAGTGCATTGGAAAGCATCAATTGGAAGAGCTATGGATTGACACTGAGGAACATCATGGACCAAGATGGGTGTGCATTGCTTGAATGGGAAAGTTTGCCGCCAACTCTCCATATTGATATCATCATTCATTATTATGACAAACAATATCCTTCACAATCTGATTCACAACTCACATCACCTTTAGATTGGCATGGAATTCAATCATCGAATTGTATTATCTGCATTTGTCATTTTCATAACTTGCTCTCAAGGTGAATTTACTGGATTCACTAATCAGTCAAAAAGGTCGAGGTCTGACCAGAAGAGCTGTCAAGCTTGCTCTTGATGAACTGAAGGAGAAGAATAAAGGTGTCCTTCTTAGTCAGCATGCACAAAAGGTAAATTCCGCTCTACAATTTACTGCATCTGTTCATCTGCTAGAAAAGCTATTCTAAAGCAACTATTGTGGGCACTCTTAGCTGATGTAAAAAACAGTGCTCAACTCATAATTGAAACTCTTGTCAATCTACAGGGTTTATACTGATTCGAGTGTCTTTCTTAGATTTGCAGTTACGCCCCAGATCTTTCAAAAACAATCGCCCGTTTGATCTTATCCTCAAATGACCGAGACTTCCGAGGGGAATGTTGCTCTCTCCTGGGACTTCAGTTTTCAGATTTCAACATGGAAGCAGTTGAAGGTTCCATTAGAGAAAGGATAGTTTCAGTGATTGGAAAACACGACCAAAAGACTAGGGTAAGTAGAGAAGCTTCAGAGCTGCTCTTCGAAGACCAATGCATCCAAAGACCGGAAGACTTCATGGAAGAGGAATACCAGGAGCTTGAGGAAGTCTACAATTCTCTCGGCTTAGATTAGACCCCCCCTCCCCTGTACATCTTGTATTAGAGAGTGAAGAGATGATATTATTGATTGTCAGAATGGTTAGATATATACATTTTGTGAACAACTAATTAAGGTAACTAAAGATGTAATATACAAATGATAGCTGCAATATAAACTAAGGATCTGCGGAATAACTGGTAATAAGAAAATATTAACCTTCCTTCTACAAATGTGCAGAATTAATGGTAACAAGGAAAGATTTACTTTCATTCTACATGCCCCTCAAGCCAGGAGTGGACGTAAGAGTAGGAAATGGTTACAAGAAAGTGGTATAGTCGGTGCAATCAATGAGTTGATCAACAGAAATCACACGGCAAACATGAAGCATGAAGCAACCCTTTCTGAACACATTGTTGAACAAAATGATATGGTGAGGTGTTTCATGAGACAGTGAAAAACAAGATTTGCACAGGTGTAATTTGCAGTGGCATTGTCATAGAAAAGAGTCGGAGGACCGGGAATAGAGATTCAGAGCTCTGAGAGGAGGGATTGAACCGAGGCAACCTCAGTTGATTGTCATAGAAAAGAGTCGGAGGACCGGGAATAGAGATTCAGAGCTCTGAGAGGAGGGATTGAACCGAGGCAACCTCAGTTGTGGCAGACGCTAGTGTGCGATACTCAACCTTAGTTGAAGTCTTGAAGATCGAGCAATTGTCCTTTGGGAAAGTTCACGAAATATGCGTTAAAAAGTTTGAAAATCCAAAATATGATTGTTATGTTTTTATTCCCAAAATAAGAGTAATTACTATCAAGTTCGGAAAATAACACCATGTTTCAAGTTTGATACTCTCAAAACATGGCAGTAATTAGTACTATTTGGAGAATAAAAACATAATACTCATATTTTGGAATATATAAACGTTTTTAGTCCTATTTAGAATAATTTCATCACTTTAAGGCAGAGGACATCACTTTAAAATTCATAATGTCCCTCATGAATTTTAAAGGTAGTCTTCTCCATATTTTCCTCTCATTCTAATATGACAGTATTCAGATCTCAATTCAATTTTAGGAAAGTGTTGAGGACTCTTCAATTCATCGAGAAGTCCATCGATGACCGGAATCACAAATTTGTCTTTGATGCTATGCAAAGAATGCCTCCGCACCGAGTCTTCAAATAATTAAGGCCCAATCAAAAAATAGTATGTGTGTAATATAAATTGGAGAGCCCAAATAAAACATTAACAAAGAGTTTCTACTGTTAGGTACGTATTAGAGAGTAAGCCCAAAATATACAAGCACCAAGTCCAGTCTTACATTCTTAGGATGTTTCTATTTGGACTGTAATTTCCTGGTCTGGTCTGGTCTGGTTTCTTTGTATTTTTATACTATCCAAGTCTGTTCTTGTCTGGTCTGGGACAAACTACAGTCTAAGTAAAAACATCCTTACTTATTTCCTGGCCATACGTATTTAAATTTTGGATCAAATTTTCTGTAAATTCAAAGTAGTATCAAAGTATTTAAGTAGAAAAATATTTCTGTATCATCTTTACAAATCATGTTGTTTAACAAACATTTTCAGGAAATGCACTGTGAACAATTTATTTCACAAAACACTTAACAAAATTTCAAATATAGATTTGTATGGTCTGAAATATCAGCAACCCGAAATTTGTAGAAACATTACCTCCACGTTATATTTTATTTGGTGACCTTTCATGCCCTTAGAACTTGATCATTAGAATCTCACTCTAATGCCAACAACTCTATCTATGAAAGTTTATATGAGATTGATTTTTCTTGTAAAAGGGAATTGAATTCAGTCTTTAAGATTTGTTATGGTACAGAGTAATACACGAAAATAGATGCTCCCATTGTATGTCTGATTCACACTCTGAAGTGGTTATGAGGATTCATTCATCTCCCACTCAATATAGGCACACTCATGGAGAAAACAAATTGCTATAATTGGAAATTGCAAAAGACCGAAAAAATTATACTGCTAGAAAAATGATTATTACCATTTATTACTTCTATTATTTTGGCACTCCGGGTCCCCATATTGCCTTTTTAATTCCCAATAATCACATTAATAATTTTTTTCGAAGTGCTACAGTGTTCCCTCCAAAATTTCACTCTCACTGTTTTGTTTATATATATATATATATAGTTTGGATCAAATGAGAATATCATCTAATGAGAGAAATAAGAATGCATCTCTACCATTGATTTCCTATGATCAATTAACATGCCGTGATAGTACTAACGGCATAAGTTGATGCGCCGTCATTAAATTTAAGGATGCTCCACCTCTTGATGTACTCAGTATGGTATTACATACATAACTTCCATATATGTCAACTCTTTAATTTAAGCATTCACTTTTCAACTTGATAATAATTGTAAGTCAACCCTTTTGGTAAAAGGATTTTTACTTTTTGGGAGTACATTTTTAAGCTCTCTCCAATTAAGAGTATTCCACTACCGAACTAACTTGTATTTAAAAAATTATTTAAAAGTATCTGTTTGTCAATAGCTATATTCTTTCAAAACGTTTTTATTTGGTTTGCACTTTTATGAATGTTGCTGCATTTTAGTATTATTATTATTTAATAATAGTTCTTTCTTTCATTTTTAAAATAGTAATAACAATAATAATTATGTAAATGCACAATTATTTTGGTTGCAATGCATGAATAATAGAGTCACACCCTATTGAGTGAATAGTTAAAAGAAAATGAGAATGAATCTGATCGTTAAAAATTGTGCATGACGTGAAACAAAAATGTGCATTCCTATGAATCACAAAGTGCAGCCACAATTTTTAAACAAATTAAGTTGTTATACCACTTTGAATTGTGCATTATTTGAACCATAAATATGCAATATCATTAATCAAGATGTGCATCATTTTAGGCCGTTCTCATTTGTCACGTGAGAAATTGTTCTCATCAAAACCATATTATAAAAGAGTAATGAGAATGAATCTGATCGTTAACAATTGTGCATAGTTTGAAACGAAAGTTTGTTTAATCTGTCATTAATTACAAAGTGCAGGTACATTCTCAAATAAATTAAATTCTTATCCTACTTTAAATTAATGTGCATTACATTTACCATAAATGTGCAACATTATTAACCAAGATTTGCATCGTTTTAGGTCATTCTCATTTATCACGTGAGAAACCATTCCTCCAAAATCATATCCTAAAAGAGAAATGTGAATGATTCAGATCATAAAAATTGTGCATGATTTGAAACAAAAATGTGCTTGTCACGAATCCCAAAGTGCAACTACATTTTAAAATAAATTAAATCGTTATATCACTTTAAAATGTGCATTATGTTTACCATAAATGTGCAACATCATTAACCAAGATGTGTATCGTTTTATATCATTCTCATTTGTCACGTGAGTGCAATGATTTGCACAATTGATAGTTTTATGTAATAATATATGTGCACTAATAGCCTAGAAATACACTAAAAGTAAACAGAGTGAATAAAGTATGATAGCGATCTAAACGAAAAATGAATGTATGTGATTGTTAAAATTGTGCACTATGTAAAAGAAAAATGTGCATTGTAATGGATCACAGAGTGAAGCCACATTTTAAAAATAAAATAAAATGTTATACCACTTTGAAACAAAAATGTGCTTGTCACTAATCACAAAGTGCAATTACTCTTTTTAAAAAATTAAATTGTTATACCACGTTAAATTGTGCATTATTTTTACCATAATGTGCAACATCATTAACTAAAATTTACCCCAATTGACTTTTTTTATATGTTAATTACTCCGTAATATATGTGAATTAGTCATCTAGATATACACTAAAAATAAATAAAGCATGTTATTCATTCAATAAATAAAAGTACGTACTATGAAAAAGTAACACATGGTGGATAATAGAAGTAACAATGCACTAATACACAATAACTATATTCCGTACGTGAAATGGTTTCACCTAGTTTGCTGACTTTTGGAATCCATTTAACCGCCTTAAAGGAAAGAGAGTCGGTTACCATTAATAATTAAATTATCATTGTAAACTTTCAGTTAAGTTAATGATGAATGTTTGCTCGCACTTAAAATAGATCGTAATATAGTGGTGTAAGTACGAGTATCGTCTCCACAGGGACGGACAAAAGGGAATCAAGAATTAATTAAATTCAGCGATTAAAAAGAAAATAAAATAAAAGCGTCGTGCGAGATTGGTTGGTTTGGAAAAATAAAACTAATGCGAACAATTAAACTAGGGGGTTCTTTCTAATTAATGACGAAGGGAACAGGGATCGATTCCGGGGTAACCAGATTTCTGGCAGATCAGGCCTAATTACATGAAATTAATTTAATTGAGCCTAGCTAATCATTACTAAGTTCTTACCGCTCTCGCGGCGTAGAGTACAATAATTTAGGGGACCAGGCTGATCTCTCATGCGACAAGATCCTAAATTATTGCCAAAACGAGCGAGCTTACGGCCCCTTAATCGCTACTAATCTCTTAGCGAACGATTAAGTGTGTGTGAATGTGTCCTAGAACAAATTAGATCTCTCTTAATTTATTCTATAAGCAATTGTAATTCTAGTGGCCATCTAGGTTACAGAGATATCAATTAAATTATTCAAACACAAATTAAACGACATTCATGCAATTAAACCGACAAGAATCTAGCCATCAATCATGATTAACCCCTTCATCAACCCCAAATCCCTAATTAAACTACTCACGCCTCATAATTGACGAATCAAAAGAATTGGGATGAATAGAAATAATTGTCATTAATTAAAGAATTGAACTTACAAAGAATCCCAAAAGATTGATGAACAAGGCTGAAAAGCCCTCTAAATTTCGTGCTAGGCACTCTCTCTAAGCTCCCCCTTGAAAACGGGGGTTTACAGGCTGTTTAAATAGAAAAATCGGGTGAAATTTGAGCTGAATTAGGATTTTCGGAGCCAGACACGATGCCAGACACGATCGTGCCTTCGATCGTGCCTCCGGAGCAAAAACGCGCATTTTGGGCAGGCACGATCGTGCCTGGCAGGCAGTAGCTCCGCGGTGCTTTTCTCTTCAGGCACGATCGTGTCTGACTTTGAGGACACGATCGTGCCTACTTAACTTCCGAATTTGACAAAACGTTCTTCATGAAAGTTGTATATAATGAAGTCCTCTATCCACCCCAATTTGCCGAATGTGATTTGAATCATCCAATCAAGATATATGATCAAAACGGTGGAAGGTGTCTTTCTGAAATCGCAGCAGAGATCATCTGACTTCATCGTCTGTTTTCACCTTCTTCCTCTCAGATTCTCGCAAAGGTCTCTTCATATGATTTGTAGCCCTTGAAGTTGGCTTTCTTATGAAACTTGAATTATGTCCATTGGATGTTGCTACAAAGAGATATGCTTGAACGATTGACAGAAGGTCATTCTGATCGTCGTTTTCAAGCTTCATTCATCTTCTTTTGACCCCGTAGCCAATTCTAGAGCTCGGTTTTCCATCAAATCTTCATCGTGAATCTTCCGGTGACCTCCAAAGCTATCAAATCATTCTTGAATGCCTCTCGAATCATCCCGATTGTTCCTCAAGTGCCGGTGCCGGGCTCAAATTCCCTGATTTTGACTACAAACAACACAAAACTCGAACCAACGCCCGATAAACATAACTTGAGCTAAAATTGAGACTTGTAACACCTTAAATCTAGGAAAATCATCAAAAGCCGATCTCAACACGCATCAAATACGTGTCAAAATACGGACTTATCAGTTAACGTGAGATGCTCCGTTAGTTGTCCAAATTAGTTTGGACTAATTTCATTTATGCCACCGTTTTAAACTCAATAATGCCGTAGACCTTTTATTTTGGGTGAATATGATTTGTTCTTATTTCTCTCCTAAGTCACCATTCTCACTTGAACTCTACCATATATATATATATATATATATATATATATATATAGAGGACTGCTCAGGTCCCTTCGGAGGGACGGGAGGGATTGTCCAAACTTTACTGTTTGGGGCGGTTCCCGGTGGAATTTTTTGATGAAATTTTTTTAGCATGTTCCTCATCAAGTCTAGTTTGTCCATACCAAATTTCAGCTCAAAATTCGACCGGGAAGGCAGTCAAATAAATTCTTGAAACTTACTGCACTTTATATATGCGCAGAATGTGCAGTAAGCTTCAAGAATTTATTTGACTGCCTTCCCGGTCGAATTTTGAGCTGAAATTTGGTATGGACAAACTAGACTTGATGAAGAACATGCTCAAAAAATTTCATCAAAAAATTCCACCGGGAACCACCCCGAACAGTAAAGTTCGGACGGTCCCTCCCGTCCCTCCGGAGGGACCTGATCTTTTCTGTGTATATATATATATATATATATATATATATATATATATATATATATATATATATATATATATATATATATATATATATATATATATATATATATATATATATATATATATATATATATATATATATATATATATATATATATATATATATATATATATATATATATATATATATATATATATATATATATATATAACTAGATATAGATAGGTGCACTTTTAGGAATAAGATGTATTTGAGGATCCAAACTTTGATAAGGGGAAATTGTTTTGGTTCACCAAATGACCAAAAACATCTTGAAATAGAGTCAATACTACATAGAGTTTTATTTGATTACATATTTTTTATACACGCTTTATACATTATTTGTATGTACATATATTTCTTACATTGAAATGAATTGTCTGTGTATAAAGAAATTAAGAAAGTATACATTTTTGAGCAAAAAAAAAGAAAGTATACAAACGAAAAAGGTATAGATTTTTTCGTACTACATAATAAGAAAAAGGATATAGATTTTTTTCTATATTTCGACCTTATGTTCAGCATAATGTCTTGCACTAGGAGGCAGATGCATGAAGTACAACTTATTAGGATTATAAACAATTTATTTTGTACACACTTTTTTGTATCCACCTTTTTTTGGTGAAGAGCTTGCATATGAAAAATACCATTTGTACAAACGTGTTTTTCCTTGCACCTCCTTACATTTGTTTTCTCGTGTTATCCGATGCAAGTTGCCCTTCTTAGTTCTTACTACTCCTCAGCATAACTTTCTTACCGAGACGCTGAAATTTTGAGTTTTTCACATCCTCCTAGGTACTAACATGGCATCTGCAGTGATCAGAGTCCCACGGTACTTTAAGAATTTTAATTCCTGCCAATCGTATAGTTATTAAATTAATGGACTTTACATGGAATCCAAGTTATTAATCAGGTCATCCCTGCTCGCTCACACTCTCCAAGAATGCATCCGAACCCAGTCCATCCCGCTCACCAAACAGCTTCACTCTATCATCCTTACATCCGGGTGTTTCAGAGAGCGATTTGTGGCCAATCACCTCATCAATGTCTACTCAAAATTGGGCCGTTTAGATGTTGCGCATTTTTTGTTTGATAGAGTGCACAACAGAAATGTCCTGTCTTTTAATATTTTGCTGGGAGGGTACATATGGAACGGAAATTTAAGTGCTGCTATGAACTTGTTTGACAAAATGCCTGATAGAAATTTGGCAACTTGGAATGCGGTTATAAATGGGTTCGTCCAGTTCGAGTTCAATGAAAAGGCATGGAACTTGTTCTTTGAAATGCACTTGCTTGGTTTCTCACCTGATGCATTTACTCTTGGGAGTGTTCTCAGAGCTTGTGCTGGATTAAGAGATTTGAGCAAGGGAAAACAAGTTCACTCTTATGCTTTGAGGTCAGGGTTGGATGGTGATCTGGTTGTTGCAAATGCACTGGCTCACATGTACATGAAATCTGGGAATCTTGAAGAAGGCGAGATATTGATTAAGGGGATGCCATTTCAGAATTTAGTTGCTTGCAATACTCTTATTGCAGGTAAGGCACAAAGCCAATGTTCTGAAGGTGCTCTGGATCTTTATAACATGATGAAAATGGAAGGGTTGAGACCCGACAAGATTACATATGTAAGTGTGATCAGCTCATGTTCTAAGTTGGCTGTTCTTGGACAGGGGCAACAGATTCACACTGAGGTGATAAAATCCGGAGCCATCTCAGTCGTTGCTGTTGTCAGCTCATTGGTCAGTATGTATTCAAGGTGTGGATGTTTGGATGACGCAATTAAGGTGTTTGAAGAGAGGAAGGAAGCAGATATAGTTTTGTGGACTGCAATTATAGCTGCTTATGGGTTTCACGGGAGAGGACAAGAGGCGTTAGAAATATTTGATAGTATGGAATTAATAGGACTGGAAGCAAATAACGTCACTTTCTTGAGCGTGCTTTATGCATGTAGTCACTGTGGGCTGAAAGATAAAGGGCTTGAGATTTTCTACTTGATGGTGCAAAAGCATAATTTAGAACCTCAACTGGAACATTACACCTGTGTGGTTGACCTTTTGGGAAGATCAGGTCGTTTGGATGAAGCTGAAGCTTTTATAAGATCTATGCCTGTCAAGGCAGATGCTATCATATGGAAGACTCTTCTATCAGCCTGTAAAATCCACAAGAATGTAGATATGGCCGAAAAGATAGCTACAGAAGTCCTAAAGATTGATCCTCAAGATTCAGCTTCTTATGTGCTTCTTTCTCACACCCAAGCCTCTGCTAGAAGGTGGAAGCATGTATCAGAAGTTTGGAAAGCAATGAAAGAGAGAGGGGTGAAGAAAGAGCCAGGGGTGAGCTGGGTTGAGTTAAAGAACCAGATTCATCAATTTATTATGGGCAGCAAATCTCATCCACAGTGCGAAGAGGTTGAAAATTATCTGGATGAACTAACTGCTGAATTGAAGCTAAATGGGTATGTGCCAGACACGGCATCAGTTTTGCACGACATGGATGTGGAGGAAAAAGAGCACAACTTGTTACATCACAGTGAGAAGTTGGCAATTGCTTTTGCTCTCATGAACACCCCCGATGGTGCGCGGATTAGGGTGATGAAGAACTTGCGAGTGTGCAATGACTGCCACCTTGCAATCAAGTACATTTCCAAGATCAAAGGGCGAGAGATTGTTCTTCGTGATTCCAGTAGGTTTCATCACTTCAAAAATGGGCATTGTTCTTGTGGAGATTACTGGTGACTTGAGAGGAGTTCAATTTGGTATGCTTATTATTCCCACTTTATCTCTGTTTCTCAATGCATCTATATATTTTCATAAAGACACTGCATCCAAAATTTCACTTTTACTACCCAAACCTCACTTGATCTTAGTCGTCCACCACACTAAATTCAAGCCATCCATGGGTCTGCCGCCTGCATGTGTGTCATTAATTGGGACAAGATTGTCTCCTAATCTGTTACCACACTAAATTCATATATAAGTCATATAAGAGCCCCTAAAGAGAATAAAGTAGCCGGCGCTGGGCAGGTACACTGTACGCGGCAGGGCGGCACTGGTGAGCCGTGGAGGGGAGCAGGGTGTTGGTTGGAGATTTTGACGGAAATTAGTTGGAGCAAATGAGCAATGGTGCTGTGTTTCGGGTGTTGGGTGCTGGGGACTTATGATGGGTGCTGGGCGGGTAATGAAGTTGTGTGGGCTGGTGGCAGCGTCACTGTGGCGGAGGCTATAGTGACACCGGCGGAGGCTACAGTGACACGGCCGGTGGCTATAGTGACACGGGCTGTGGCTAAAGTGACACGGACGGTGGCTAAAGTGACACGGGCGGTGGCTACAGTGACACGGGCGGTGGCTACAGTGACACGGTCGGTGGCTAGCTACAGTGACACGGTCGGTGGCTACAGTGACACGGGCGGTGACTACAGTGACACGGGCAGTGGCTACAGTGACACGGGTGGTGGCTGTAGTTACAAAAAATGAACACAGTGACATAAAATTTTTACAGTTACATCATGTTTTCTAATTGCACATATATGACATTCTTGATCACTTTTTTGCCCCTTTTTAAAAGTGGTCACTTTTTGGGTAAATGGTTCAAAATTAGTAATATCCAAGTATAAACCCCCTTATATATAGGGGTCCTCAGTGGATGTAAGAGGGTTTTTTTCTAGAGAATTAATTACTGTGTCTTGACAAGGTCGGGCACCGAATTGATTCCAATAAAGTCTTTTTACCAGATCCAAAAATTCAGTCATCTCTTTACCGGAATTCGCTTCCGTTATCTCATCCTAGACCCTGGACGAGATCGTGTACGCGTGCTCTTAACAATTTGGTATCAGCATCAGGCACGATGGGGACTGATTCTACATCAACCAATAATCTAAAAACCTACATGAAAGGAATGGATCAGTGGCAGTTTGACGTGGATGAACAACTGGCAAATCTGAAAAGTTCTGTCACGGATTTGAAATCTCACTTTGTTTGCTTTCCCTTCTTGATTAAACTTAAGATCTCTTCTGTTATATACCAAGTACCAACACATTGGTCTTTTGGAATTCCAGCTCATTGATGAAGTATCATCTCACAATCTTTTGCCTTTTATTGTTGGTGGAACGATTTACTATATACAGGTTGGTATTGCCATTTCCTTCAGGGCTTGTTTGGTTTGGGGTTTTTTGAAGGGAGGGGAGTACTTATTTACTACATATATTTTACTAATTTATCTCTATTTGTTAGCCATAGATCAGAAAGTTACATCTTCAGTTAAATTATGTATTTCTATTTGATTTTCATCTTTTCTTCATTTACAACCATCTATATGTAATATAAAACTAATAAAATAAGTATCACTCCCCTCTTCCAGTCTTCCTCCCTTCTGAAGTTTCTCAACATAAAAGGGCTTAGAGTTTGGATGATAAACTTAACTATCTAGGAAGGTATGCTTGTCCTTGTATGATCTAGGATGTTATAATTGAGAGACTTTTGCTGATGTGGCCCCTATGCGTTTTAGAACGTGCATGTTGTGAATATTTATCATTTCTATTGAGATTTTCTTTATATGCGAATACATCTTTTTCTTTGTATTTTACATTTTTACCATCTTTTCTTTGTTTTTGCACCAATCACTTTAATGGCAAACTTTTCTAGTTTCAAGTGAAGCAATACAGTTTGCACGCCAATAACATTGTTGTTTGATGACATCACCATTACCTTTCAAATTGGAGGTCACTCATTTTAATCTCATTCCAAATACGGTTAGCAGTATTATTGAATAAATACTATAAATAGGTTACAGTGTATTCCAAATGAAGTGTTTCTATTACAGCAACAACATGTCCACTTTCATTCGAGTGAAGGCATACTGTTATAGTGTTTGAATTGGGAATCTCAGGCTGCATAATCACTTGCCCCAGGCTGCATAAAGTTTGAATTTGACATTTTTTGTAGTTGTGTTGCTAGATTTCATCTTTAAAATTTGCAATAGTTTCTTCCAGGTTTACCATGATTATACGAGTGGGTTATACTTACAAGGTGATCTGTGATGAGCATTTTTATATGAATGATTTCAATACACCAGAACTGCAACACAGTAAAGACTGAAATATTGCATTTTTGTATGAAATATTGCATGTCTGTTTCCACGCTTTTATGTCTCTGGAAATGGCAAGATTTCAGAACTATTGCATTTGTTTTTTAACGAGTAATATGCGTCAACTGCTTCACTATGTTTCCCTTCCACTTACGTACTCAGGGCCTTTTTTTGCCTCAATTTGTATGCTTCTTTCTATGGATTGCTTGTTTTTGACACATTTGTCTTTGGCTGAATCTCTTCAACTCGTAGATGTAAGAAGAAAGGCCTTGGCACTTGCTTGGAGTAACTACCACCTTTGATGTTTTGGCACATGGGTAAACCTGCAGCACGAAGACTATTAATAAGAAGAATTACTGAGGAAATGTCATTCTTTGGTTTCAATGCCTGTGGTGTGAAGGAATGTTTTTTTTATTTGTTTATTCATTATTTCATTAAATAGCATTATTTGTTAGAGAACTCATTGAAAACATTTTCGTTTAGGAAAAATAATGCTTCCATATATTCCTAATTATCACACTAGGCAGAATGGCCATGTAAATCCCACTAAGCTATCATACGTAGTATTTTATTTCATAGTATGTCAACATCATCCATCCTGCAACATCAATGCAACATCAATCCAAATATTTTCATTTACAATACACTTTGCAGCATCCAAATCCACATTAATAATACTCTAGTAGCTACTGAAAAGTCTAAAACTTTAGCACAAATAATCATTTACTAACCTTTAGGAACAATAAAATCATCAAGCTCAAATACTTATCAGCAAAGTCAAAGCGGACATGTAAAAGAGGAGCAAACATAATGTCTTGAGAATGAAAAAGATGAAACTGAGAGGCCACATGCAAAGACACAGTTTGTCGAGTCTGCAAAAACAGAATCTTTAACAACAATTACTTCTAATAAGAAAAAGGAGTAATCTATTGGCAGATTAATTGGATCCAAGCTTGCTCAGTTGGGAGATAAGAGCAAGGTATTTTAGTGAGTCATATTTCATTATTCCATTATATTCCAAAACCAAAAAATTGTGAATCTTTGGCTCCATTGCAAATGATGGAAAACAGGTGAGATTTATTATGAATAATAATTACCAAACCATATTTAGATTAAGCAAACATATGGCCTAAAAGTTAATGATGTGTAGGGCTGGCTATACTCATGTTTAGAACTGGCATTTTTGGCTGGTTGAATTGTTGGAACATGCGGGTATTCCAATATAGCACCAACCAGCTAATGCCAATGCTTCACTTCCCCCCCACTAAATCAATCACCAGTTTTGCAATTAGATAGTTTTGTTCATTCTCGACGTTCAATTTACTTACTATCTTAATGTGATGCATCAGCTGACATCTTATAATTCTTTTCAAATCATCATAAGCTAATTGTACACTTCTGCATGTCATAATCTAAAATTTTCCACATAAAGATTACGCTAGTTGAATGTTTATCATAAATACAATCATATCACATGTTGTGATGACAAGAAATAAATCCCAGTTAGAATTTGTTGTCTGCTATAATTATTCATTTATGCCTAATAGTGAATCTGAGGTGATCGAAAGGTTCCTACTTTCTATAGCCATTTCTACAATTTTACGCAGCACATAACCAAGAATATTAAAGATCCAGCCTTTATTACACATTAATCATAGTTCAATAAAGCTTCAGTAATTTCTAAGAAGTGGAATCTTCAAAAAGTTTAAACTGACTATGCACCAAAAATTTGTAACCAAAACTAAATATATGTACCCCAAATCTACGGAATTCGAGAGTTTGGTTGAACCAGAGTTCGCCCTAAGTCAAATACTTGTTGCTTTCCGAAGAGGGGCGCTGCAACGCTGTCATTAAAAATTGAATATTAGTATTTAGTACATTCCAAGTCATTTCATTAAGGGAAGGGAGGAAAAGTTTTGGTGAAGAAAAAAAGAAGATAATGCAAGAACAAATTTACCACGATACTAGGGGCCTAATGCTTGCAAAAACAAGGTAAATAATTGAGAAAGATAAGCAAATAGATCCAAACTCCAAAATACATTAAATACATAATGCTAATCCAAAGGTGAATGATTACGCACAAGGCATTGAAGAATACCTTATCTACAAAAGGAACAGGCTACTAAGTACCAGGAAGTATTTGTCGTCGATTACTCCATAATCTAATACTTTTGTGCTTCTAAATCTAGAAGAAAAGAAGCAAAATTGTACTCTGCATATCATTGTAAGAAAACGTTACAAGTTCCTTATATGCTCTTGCAACAAATGAGTATAGTAGACCGAGTGAAATTTGTTTGGTGGCCCAACAAATCACAGTATTCTAAGCTCAAATCTTCCTTGGTTTTTCAGCATTGAAGACCAATGGATATGGCTATATCCTTATGAACTTTATTTTCACCATACTCTCACTCCAAATGACGTTAAAATGATCTCAAATGACTGTTGTATTAAGAAAGCAATATCAATAATGTTTTTATTTTTATTTTTTGGAGGATAAAAGTGGAGCCAAAATAGACGTAATAACTGTGACACCTTGAAAAAAAAATGAAAATAAATAATTTAGCTTATGCTTCGGGGACGAAGCATTCTTTTAAGAAGGGTAGAATGTGACACCTCAAAAATTTAAATAAAATAATCTTGATGATCAGATAAAATGTTATGATACTTTGTGACATTTTTATTTAGATAACATTTCTGGTAATAGAAGTAACATTTTTTTAATGATAATCATATGAGATAAAAGTGACAATTACTATTAGAAAAATATGTGTGCAGATTACACAAATAATACTCCGATCCGTAATATACTATTAATACGTAACTTCATACGAAGTAATACGTAGTAATAAGCTACAATAGTAAAGTAAGAAGATTACCTAAATAACTACAAATTTACATACGTATATACGTATATAATAATATTAATAATAATAATAGTATATGAAGTATATTAACCAAGGAATGTATATAATCCTGCAAAATATATAATACGTATATAATACATATTAACCAAGAGATAAATGTTAACTAAAAAGATAAAAACGTATTGAACATACAACCTAGTAAATATATATGCGGGTGCTGCGAAATCATAATACCGGCCCTCATATACATCTACCGCACGAACCTAGACTACAGAAAGTCCACATGCACAAGTAGAGTCATAGGCAAACATAAGCTTCTTGACTTCGTTTAAAACTTCCGAAACTTGGGCTTGTAGATCAATCGGATAAACTTTAACGCAGCCAGAACGCTCGACCTACACCTATAAATAGCAGTCTTAGACCCGCGTTTCATTCACACCAAGAAAATGACGAGTTGCAGTCGCATATACTTCATATATATATAAATACGTATATATATATATATATGTGTACACAAATTTCAACCCATCGTTTTAGCCATAACCAAGCCCATAAAACACCTCTGAGATCTTCCCCTGCTTGAGAGGAGTCCAACGGAAAAAGAATCATTGAAAACGATCGTGAAACGACGGAGAACGAGCTTGCCGGAGTTCCGCCGGGCTAACCGTAAAAACGGAAAACGGAGAAGAAGGAGGAGCTGCCGCTGCCGCCAACCCATCACTGACCTTCGCCGTCCCCAAACGAGTCTTCTACCACCACCGTATCACGAATCCGTCGAGGTAACCTCCCTTCCCCTGCGCATCTTGTTCCGTTAAACTCACGAGGAAGAAGAAGTGAAGAACAGTACTTTGTTCTAAAAGTTGGGCCGGCACTTTGTATTCTCTGGGCCGAAACTCCTAAGTAGTAATAATAATAATTATTATAATAATAATAGTAATATGTAGTAATAATAATAAAAATAGTAATAATAATAATCTGCAAAATTGATAAATTTGAGATGAGAAGTATTAATGGTGAAATTGTCTGGATTAATTGATAGTAATCACTTGGATAAATTTGTTAATTGTTATTTAACATAGTTACATAATGTTAAATAATAAAAAGGAAATTGATGGTTTAATTAATAAAAATTGATAAACAAATATTATATTAAAATTATAATTATTTAATTGGACTTAGTAGAGAAAATTGGATCGTTATTGTTTTCACTAATTATTGGATTAATTGAAGTAGATTCATAAAATTAAATTACGGACTTGGAAATATTAAGTGTTGAGTAAATTAAGAAAATCAGGTTTAGTTAATGATGATTAGTTAATTTAGATAATTGCTAGAGTATTCGTATTTACTAATAATGTTGATTAAAGTAATTATGACATTTGAATAATTTAATTAAATATAATTCGAATTATTATCAAAATCTTTGAATTAATAATATAGGTATTGAGCTAGTTAATACCTTGATATTATCGGACTGGATTTAAAGTAATAAAGGATTATTGAATTTAGTTAAGATAGTCATTAAGTACGAAAATATTAGTAATAAACTATAATTGAAGGTAATTCGAATATGTCTATAATTCGTATATTTTAATAATATTAAAAATATAATTAATTATTTGGATGTTTTATAAGTAGAGTAAATTAATGTTGATTAATGTAAATTAGAGAAATTGTGAAATTTGGACATGCAATTGAAATATAATTCGTATAGTATAACGTGGTATTGGATCATTAGTAATTAAAAAAATTATTGGCCTAATTCAGATGGATTAATAAAAGTAATTAAGGAATGGATAAGCTAAGTTAATTATATTAAATTTGAACAATAAAATAAAAAGTGAAGATCGGTTAAGTTATTAAAAATAGAATAAGTGACTAATTATATCATCTTAATTAAAAAGGTGAATATATAGAGACCGGATTTGAGAAAGAGAATTAGGAGCTTCAAGACTTAAGGTAAGTTTCTCTGCCGATCCAAAATTGTTTCCTCGTATTATATGCTTATTATGCATTATGTGATTAAGTGTGAATTTTGAATTATGTGTATGTGATTTTGATGAATACAAATCAAGAGTACTTTTTGGGGTATTAAATATTTTTAAATACCTTTGAGATTATTTAGAGGGATTGAGAAATATTTTTAGAAGTGTATCTAAAGCCAAGATAAAATTTACGTTTTCATAAGAGGTGAGCACCGCGGGAGAAATCCGCGGTGTCGGTTTTCCACATCCGGATAAATGTGGAGGGTGATTAGAGCGGCTACTACTAAGAAGAGATTTTTGAGTAACTTTCGGATCGATGATCCCTTTTAAGAAGGAGAGTTGTGGTAGTAGTAGTAGTTCCGACGTAAAAGGGCTACTACTGCTAAGGGTGAGAATAAGTTTTCAGTGATAATTGGATCGATGATCCCTTTTAAGAAGTAGAGTTATAGTAGTAGTAGTCCCTAATCATTCAAGAATTTTAAAGGTGGGGTAGTTGGTAGACTGAGTCCCGATTACTCGTGACGACTTACTACTCGGAGGGCTTGGAATCCCTTTTAGGGGGTGTGCACACTTAAGGTAGTCGTTTCGTTTCTACAAGAGCAGTTGTGGTACCGGCACTTGTTCGGGGTGGCCGTCCGTAACCACGGTCCACCGGGCTCAGTCGAAAGGTTGAGCACCGCCCTTCTAAATTACTAGGAAGTTAGAAAAGAAGTGATTTTTGAGATAATCAAAGAAGAAGAGAATT